GGGCTGCGCGGCTGGCGGAGCACGTGGGTTTGACACTCGCTCGCAGGCGGGCGGCGGCGGCGGCGGCGGGGGAAAGAGCGGCACCGAGCGGCTCCTCCCGACCCGGAGCGGCCGCGCTGCGCCCCCCGCCCGGCAGCGGCGGCACCTGTCCGCGCCCCTTCACCCCGCCGGGTCCCCACCGGCGCCGTGGGGTTCCCCCATCTGCGCCACCTTYGCCCTCCTGGTGCAGTGCGTTCCGTGACCATGGGCTTCGGGCCTTGGGTAGGGGCGCTCATGCACCTGCAGGAAAGGTGGGGGTCCTGAACGAGGCATCAACCAAGGTGTCTGACCTACGGCTCTTCTTCACGGTCATACACCTGAAATAAATAAATCTTGAACGTTTGGCAGTGCAACATCTTCATATTTCAAGATCTCTGCCTGAGCTGCGGGGCAAGGGAACGCGCTTGTAGCCCGAGGGAGCTTGCAGGAAGGTCCTCGCTGGCTGGGGCACTGGCTGCCTTCTGAGCCGGAGCCTTGGCAAACCACGGCACTCTGCCGGCCTGAGGGTGGGAGAAAGATGAGAAAGCAACCCGCTTCTGAACGATCTGCAGGAGATTCTCAGCATTTTCAAAATTGCAGGGAGGTTTCAGGGTGTCATTGTAATTGACTTTCCCCGGGGCATTTAGGTTTATGATGTTACCTTCACCGTGCCTCCCTCAAGGAGAGTTGGCAAATATTTTGGGAAGGTGGGAACCCTGTGAGGAATCAGCTACCTGTGTGTGATCTCAGAGCAGCAGTGGCCAGCAGAGGAGTGCTGCAAAGCCTCCCCTCTTCCAAAGACAACTGTTCTAAAATGTTCCTATGACCAAGCACCATTCSACATATTTGAAGAATCAACAGGAAAGGAGCTCTGAAAATGCCTGTAAGGAAGATGACAGGATCTGGAGTGGGGTTGGMGTGAAGAAGCCCCTGACTCCTGAGGTGTTTTGGCAAAGTCAGCCCCAGTTATGCTGGAGGTTTTTTCCCTCCTACAGCTGGAGTTTGTCTCACCTAGCAACCCTTGAGCTGAAATCCTTGCAAGAGAGCAAACCTGCCTTTGTCCTGTAGATCACTTATAATACCACAGGCATGGTGTCCTGGAGCAAAGCAGAGAAAAACAGGAGAGGACCATAAACTGAGAAGGGGGAAGCAGGAGTTGCTTGTGATTGCCTAAGAGTGTCTTTGGATTAACACACCAAATCTTCATTAGCCTAAGGGAGAGCTAATMATCTCCTGATGGACCAGTGGTTGGTCCRTCAGACAGCTTCAARCCATGTCCASTGACRGGGAACATTCCATCTCCAACCAAATACACTAAAGCTGCACTGAAGTAGAAGCTCTTAGAGATGGAGGGGCCTTACTCCAGCTGCTTTGTTTTACTTGTTTGCTGAGCTGAATTTCCTGCCAGTTTAGACACAGCCTGTATGTATGCTTAGTGGTAATTTGTAGGTCATTTTCTTTGAAGCAAACCTTTTGACTTTTAAACTCAAGGCTGGATATATATATTGCAGCATTAATTCAATATTAAATTYCTTCTTCCTAAGAATGTGTTTGGTTTTTGATAACTGTATTGCCAGTAACTAATTTCTGGATTTTATTGGCAGTGAGGTCATTCCTCTGCCATGGATCTGAGAACAACTTGTTAATGAAATTATGGAAGAATGTTTTTTAAAACTCTGTATTTTTAAATGTTTTCTTTGCAAAGTGTTCCCTTTTTGTTTCAGTTTAGGGAGATTCTTTCCTTAGAGGAAAGAAGCCTTTGGTGCTGGTTTTGAGTCAGAGAAAAGTAAAAGGGAATCCTCAAAGCCACTTGTAAATACATGATTTTAACTTGCCGTTTGAAAGTTCCAGATGAGCTGATGTTTGAGGACTACCCCTTCTCATTCCAGACTAAAACAAGCCACACCAAAATTAAAGCCTCCTGAATGAAAACATTTGGACAMCAAGTGTATGTCTCACAGTGCAAACTATAAAGAATACATAATGATTATTTGTCCCAATATAATATTCAGTCCTGGAAATATTGAGAAACCCAGATAGTTTAATGTAGTATAAGAGAAACATATCCATTTGGGGTTTTTTTTGTGTGTTTGTAAGGTGATTTATACTTTGTAACTCCACCAGATAGTGAATCATGCCCCTTATGTCTTTAATTAATTTCCATCTGATTGATCAATTGAGGGCTCTGGTTAACTTTTTATCCTCCTGCTGCCCAAAGCAGTACAGTTGTRTTTTAAGAGTATTTTTACATTTTACTTCCTAATATGYACTGGAATATCCTGGGCAAGTGTTYCCCCTAACTGATGCWTTCTTGAGTTCCATATATTAAAATCATTAAACTTATTTAACAAACTGTTAATAAATGTAATAAATGTTAGTTTAGTCTGTCTGCTTCCCATTCACGTCTTCTTTTTCTGAGCTGACTGAAGTTCTTGTGTTTTTCTCTTTCAGCCTAGGTCATATTTGCTCCTTGAATTTATTACAGGAACAAAATTGTGTTTGCAACCAAAGAACAAGGATGGTTTCTCACATCTTGAAGTCAGTAGTTTGCTCAGCTGATGAGCTGAGGAAATAGGTCATTTTAGCTGTACTGGGCAAAAAGCAGTGATTAGTAATCATTTCCTTTCTAACATATTTTCKGTTACACTACATTTCTTACTCATATACCAAACACTGTCTGTTTGTTTAATGGAATAGAAAAGACACAGAGAGGACATCAGGAAATAATTAGCCACAATCTCACTGCTTTTTATAGAAAAATCATCTGGTCCCGGAGCATCTCGAATGGAGCCATCTMACTGGAGAAGTCCATAAGAACAGAGTACAATGCTGCAACATGTTACAGTGTATGAATGATGAAAGGTATCAGAAAACTCCCTTGTGCTTGGTAATGAAATGTTTGTAATTGCTGCTTAAGCAGCAGGGGCAAAGTCTGAAGGTGTGCCCAGTAGCAGACTGAATCAGGATAGTGCACGGTACTTTTACTCACACAGAGTAAAGTCCTGAAATCCATCATGGAGATCAGTGCATGAGCTTTAATGTGTTAGAGTCCCAGTCCTGTCCTGAGCTTAAAGGAGGCCTCTTATCACAAATAAAAGATGGGAATTTTGAGGACCCTGCTGTGGTATTGCCTTGCTTCAGAAGGGTGCTTCCTTTTCCTTGCTGAGGCTACTGCTAGAGAAAACAGGAGTTGGGTTTGTTTTTAAGATCACTATGCTTGGGCTTTCCATCTCTTGTTGGCCATTAAGCTATCACTCCTGCTTGTTGGAGCCACTGGGTTTCTTCCAAACCTTTTCTTCTACATAGGATTTTATTTCTTATGATCTAGCAATTTAAAGCCACTCACTAGATAAGGAACTCAAACTAGCAAATAACAAAATTTGTCAGCCAGTCACCCCGTAAGAGGACAGATAAGAGGACAAGAAACCATGGTTTCCTGGCCTAAGGAGCAGCCAATGATTCTGGTCTCCAAATGGCCTTGGGCTTGGATAGAACAAGTGATGGCTGTCTTTTCCTGTTATCAGATAAAGTGTAAGGACATCTCCACAGTCATGTTCTGCTTCTGTCTTGAGTTATTCCTCCTCCAGCAACAGCTGCCTCTTGCAAATTTAATTTTTAAGTTGGAACTGAGTCTGATGCATATTTCCAGCTCTTTACATTGCAGCAGTTGAAACAATAAGATAGTAATTAAGAAACGTTGTCAAACTATGACTGAATGTTACAGAAGGAATGTTCAGAATGTGCACAAAGTGGAAAAATACTCTTTCCCATTTAGCGTTGAGGAATAAAATAAAAAAATCTTCTACATACTGCTTTTTTTCTGGGGGTCTGGCCAGACACGAAGTTCAGTTTTAAGGACTCTTTAGGACCCAGCTGAAGATCCCCTTCTTTCCCTGGGACCTGAGTTCTGCAGAAAGCCTGTTTCTAGTGAAATGTATGCTCAGCCTCTTTTGCTGCAAAGAGGGGATGAAGGAGAGGTAGATGCTCCACACTTTCTCATACTAGAAGTAAATGAAGCCTGAATTGCTACAACCAATGTGAATTGTGCAGAAGGCTTTTTTCTCAAAGGGATAGTGGAAGTCTCCTGATCTCACTCCTCATGCATCAGCCTCAGGATCAAGGCACACTAGGTTCTTGGGTTGTGTGCCTGGCCAAGACTTCTAGGCTGTTGCAATTCATGACTGGAAAGACACCAGAAATGCTGCAGGGAAAGTCTGAATATTTATGTAGCATTTTATTCTGTGATTTGGTAGAGTTGAATTGAA